CGCTTGCTGGGGTTGACTTGTTTCACGGTGAGGGCTCCTTGAAACGCTGGCACCAACAGGCACTTCAGGTCGGTGGAAGCAACCTCTTCCAAATCTTCATTTCGGCTGAACAACTCGAGCGGCGGTAACGTTTCGGCAGCCTTATCAAGCAGGTCCAGGCCCTTGAACACCTTCTCCTGGACTATCCGGGAACCGGCGGGTTCAGTCGCTACTTCTACTTCGTCCAGAATCTGTTTGCCGGTTTCCAACAGCCTGAGGGGCAGCGGGAGCAGTAGTTCGTTGTCAGCAGCCATCTTAGGGAGGGCTTTTTTTTACCTTTCTTTTTCTTTATATTATAAAATTTCCACACATGCATCAGTGGTTCCTTTGAGGACATCACAAGTCTCAGAAGATTAAGATTTTTCCATCATATGCTATGACCAGAGTTTTATATCATTTTTTAACTTAAAATTGTTCAAGTATCCAAAGATCACATATCAATTAATTGTTGTATAAGTTCTTAAGATTTTTAAAACTTGGAAATTAAAATTTTAATTAACACATTTTATAGTATTACAGGAATTTCACGTAATCAAAATCTTTTAAAAGACATCTGTAATTAATTACATTTTTATTTAATTAAGCACCATATTATATTTTCAATCTTACACAATTTTTGGAAATAATAAGTTATTTGACTCTGAAGCCCAATATAAAAATTTAGAAAGTTTAAAGCATTAGAAATTTAACTTTAGTATTATGAAAATTAAAATACAGTGTTAGCATTTTTACATAACAAAATACCATTTTTAACTTTTTCTGTTTAGAAATTTTTTATTATTTATGTGGACTAGATTTTCTAGAGTGCACACATGACAACAAAATGATTTTTTTTTTTAGTCAATTCACCTTTAAAATTTCTTGAGGGAGGATAGGAGGGAGAAAACAGGAAAAGAAAGTGAAAAGAATCCAGGCACACTGGTATGCACCTATAGTCCCAGCTACTCAGAAGGCTGAGGCAGAAGGATCGCTTAAGGCCAGGGGTTCTCGGCTGTAGTGTACTATAATCACACCCGTGGATAGCCACTGCACTCCAGCCTGGGTAACATAGTGTGACTCTGTCTCTTTAAAAAAAAGAAAGAAAAGAGAAGAAAAAGCAGGAGCCAGCTATAGATACATATACAATTATTGGAGAAAAGCTAATAATCTTTCTGCTCTAAGGAGAGGGAAAAAGTTTAGATATAGAAAAACCCATTTCAGGATACACATGCATACACACGAGTTTCACACCTGGTTGGTTGACACAGTAACTTGGGCCCTTCACAATTTTGCCAACTCATAGAATAAAGCAGCCAATATTTATTAAACCCCTAGGAATGGAAATGAAGGATGTTTTGGGAGGGAGGGAGTCTTTCCTTAAACTAAATGATCTCTCTTTTAGAAAGATAAGACAAAAAGGAAAAACATTTAAAAAAAGAGAAAAAAATTAATAAAAAAGAAAAAGAAAAGAGAAGACAGTCTCCTCATGAGACTTGGGTTTTTTTTTTTTTTTTTTCCTTTTTCATTCTAAGACATGTCTAAAATGAACAATCTTATTTGAGCCAAAGTTCTCCAGAGTAGCCTCTACAATTCACTGTCCTCTGTGAAGTTATGCCAGGAACTAGTGTAAGTATCTTGGAGGCAAACCACAAGAGGCTGGCTTGTGGTCAAAAATAAAAATATTACTTTTATAAGTAATATAAAAAGCAACTGTTTTTAAATACATTGTCTCTCTCTTTTTGAAATACAAAATATAAAAGAAAAACTCATGAATTTGGGCCCTAACCCCAAGGATAAATTGCTCTGCCTGCTGACTCAAGAAATCAGCATGACTCTAAAGGGCCAAAGAGATAATAAAAGTCCAGATTCAATGCAAGACCCATGTAATCAAGGACAGAGAGACCTAAGGCAGGGGAGACTCAAGAAGTCTCAGATGTGCATATTATTACCAAGGGTTCTGGTTCATGGCAGCAAGGATCTTGGCCATACCTCCATGATATTGTTCCAGCCCAATCAGCCTCAGACCATCAGGGACAAACCTGTAGTTGAAAGAAGTACGGTTTACTGACTTGCTACAACAAGAGAGGCTGCACATCAGAGAAACTATGAGATATGTCACCAAACAAAAGAAAAGATAAGATAGGGGGCTGGGTGCGGTGGCCCAAGCCTATAATCCCAGCACTTTGGGAGGCCAAGGAGGTCTGATCACTTGAGCCCAGGAGTTTGAGACCAGTCTAGGCAACGTGGTGAAACCCTGTCTCTACAGAAAATACAAAAATATTTAGTCTGGCAAGCTGGCATATGCCTGTGGTCCCAGCTACTCAGAAGACTGAGATGGAAGGATCACTTGAGCCCAGGAGGTGGAGGCTGCAGTGAGCTGTGATTGCACCACTGCACTCCAGCCTGGGCTACAGTAAGAACCTGCATCAAAAAAAAAAAAAAAAAG